CTGTTTTTACTGTACACAGCAGATGTCTGTTCACCGGTTTATTTCTGGCAAAGCTGGAATGCACAAGTGGTAGCTCCATCATATATGCCCAGTTGCATAAAACAACTGCCATGTCGCCATGTTTGTTTGGTCTTAACAGCCTCTACCCAGGCTGGCTGTAGCTGCTGCACAAGTTTCTGCACAGATCCCCATTAACTTGATATTTGGTTGTGCAATAATGAGATATTATCATTTGTAATTAAACATTTTAAAACTGTTTCTTAAGGACATTCTTATATTGAAATATTGGGCTTCAGAATAATTACATGTGTCTCCAGCCTGTTCTAGTGTGAAATCTCATGTGCTCAACTTATAAAGCTTTATAAACCTCAGAAAGCCATGAAAATTAGTCAACCATTAGTCTTACCATGTGAAATATATAGCATGATAACATCTTTAATAATCTCCATATTGATATTTGAATATTGCAGATCATTCATTCATTCATTGTTGTTTACATTTAGCTGGTATATTTTAGTTTTTCTATGCAAGACCTGCACAGATAAAAGAAAATAATGAATCTACATTGTTTAATATAGGCCCTGTATCTTTTGACTTTAATAGATATGCTACTTAGATAGGTTATTGTTTTATGTTTCGGGCCTATCCCCACCAAATGAAGAAATAACAGGAAATTTTGAATGGGCTTTGTTGAGTAATGTTGAATTTTTTGGCACGACATTCGTGACTCGGATGACGTTTCTGATTCCCTGCATTTCGGGCAACATTATATGATGAGTTTGTGGTATAGGCTCATATTGCAGTAAAAATATCATTGTTGTCTGTACAGAGCTATGTGCAGCCACAGAATGAGCAAGCACAAAATTCATCAATATTACTGCTTTATACCCATCCAGTTTTGTGTCTGCTGTTCGTCATAAAACTTTGCTGAAATATATTAAAAAATGTCTGAAAATGAACACAGGATTTAAAAATAAATAAATAACACAGAGAACTTTAATGCAAGGTTAGTCATTTGCAGTCAATTAAAAGTGAAATGTCTGTTTTCTTGTGAATTGTTGGTCTTGAACTTTGGCTCTTCTGAAAGAATTGAGACTTGGGATTCTCACTGTTGTGTTTTTTGACCTGTGTGGGAAGATGGGGTAGTTGCATACAAAGGAACGATGTGATGGTTCTTGTTTTCTCTTGGAGAAGAGAGAAATGAAGAGGTTGACTCTGAGATGGGAGCATGGCTATGCTGTGGTAACGGTTCATAATTGAGAAGTTAAGAACCAGTTGGGATTTTTTTTTTTTTTTTTGTGGGTGTTTCTAAGATGAACATTTAAAGGTTCAGTGGGACACACACATAAGCTGGTATTGTAGTTACTTCGGTTTGTTTGCCTGGGTGGTCCTATCTTTAGCTCTGTTTTCTATTTCTCTTTGTTAATTTCCTCTCCCGTCCTCTGCAGGTCATTGAATTGTGCATTTCTTATGATATAATTTATTTGGACAATTTAATCTTTCCTGATTGTAATACCTAAAATGACTAGTTAAATACATGATAACTTCAATCACTAGTTAATCATTTTTCCAGTGAAAATGCTAAACACTCTCCAGCGTCTTCCTTTCTGTCATGGCAGCTTGCTTCTTGGAAGTAAATTAAATATCAACCTGTTTCGGGCTGTTGGCTGAACTGAATGCACTTAAATGAAAATATATAAAATATGGTAACGCTAAAACAACTTTTGTCAGTTAAAGAAAAACATAAACTCGACTCTTCTCGTGTATTTTCAGTTCACACCGGATTAAAATTGGGTCAGACTAGCATGCTTTACAACCAGCTTTTACGCTCACAGACATTAGCTCCATATGACTACGGAAGCAGGAGTATCAGCAGCACATGGCTAATTAACATTACATATCCACTTTACCAAAGAGCGATCAGTCCAATCGAATAAAGAAAAACTGGCTAAACAGATGCTCAGATCAATTTTACCAAAAATCTCAGCCGACTCTCGTCCCTGCTCATCCCATCACAAAATATATTAATTGTTATTATTTTAACAAACTAGTGTTTCTGGTGCAGTCTAATGAGAGTGACAGCTTTTATCCATCTAATGTATTGCTCGCATACATCGCTAATGCACTGTGCCGTTGCACTTCGCGTAACCTGCGTAACTTGGCTGTAACCCTTTGGATCAGTCAGTTGTTTAACAGGTGACTCTTAATCTGTTAAGCTACTCATGTACACTCTCACTGTTGTTGCAATGCTTAGAGCTATGTTATTTTAAAGCACAAAAACCACAGCTAAGCATGAGCAAACCTCTCTCACCGTCTGATATCTACAGTAAGGTAATGCTTGTAATAACTCTATATTCATTTTCCTACTGTTGCCTAGCTACCAAGGATGCTTTTACTATTTTTTTTTTAAGTTGCTTTAATTATCATTCATCTTAATATAATTACACTCAGCCTGTTCCACATAGAAAACACATTGGAGTGAGACATCACCCCTTGTTGTCTCTTGACCTCCAGTCACCAACAAGGTATGTTGGCAGCACTGGGAGAAGCATTTGGGGTCTGCCTTCTACTGCGGTAGTGGTTTTGTGAAGGAGGCGAGTACAGAAAGCTATGCACACTGTGGCATCTCTGACCTCTTTTTATTGAGAGTGCAGATGGGAAACCAAATCATAAAGTCTCCACAGGAAGCAGGGGGGAGGCTCAGATCCAGGGAAGAGGATGCAGTCTTCAGATTCTGCCGCAGAAAAAGAAATGCAAAGACTGCAACGTCCGTAGAATTATGAGTTACGGATAGACATTTAATTAGGAATGGAAATTAAGAAATTAATATTTCACTGCTGTAACCTGGGGGAAGAGCTTTATGTGTGAAATCTATCCCAAAAAACAACATGAATCATTGGAAAACATATTTTCATAAATTTATTTAAGCAAGATCCTGGTTAGGAAAAAATGATCTTGAATATCCATCATCACACAGGCGGATAGTCTGGGTAAATGTGCCGTTAAAACTGGCTATAAATCACGTTTTGAAACGTGTGTGTGTGTGTATATATATATATATGTATATATATATATATATATATATATATATATATATATATATATATTATATTATATATATATATATGATGATTATGTATATATATATATTAATAAATATAGTGTTGAAGCCAGTGATCGTCGACACACCTAGCATTCGACGCAGTCATGAGCGCTCAACACAGACAGCATCGTCAGAAGGAAAGTTGATAAAATAAATTACAAATTTTGTATTGTTCGATACATATGCGTACCGAACCGAAAGCACTGTATCGAACGGTTCAATATCGATACGATATCGTTGCACCCCTAATATATATATCTATATATCATTATATCTATATCTATATCTATATATCTATATTATATCTATATCTATATATCTATATATATATATATCTATATATATCTATATCTATATCTATATATAGTTATATATATAGTTAATCTATCTATCTATCAGTGGCGGCTGGCCCATAGGGGGCGCTCGGGCTCCGCCCCCCCAAATGTGGAGGAGTAAAAATATATATTTTTAAAAAATTCATCAATGATAGTTTTACTATGTGTGTGCCCATATACAGCCAGGCGTATTTTAACATTTTCACCAGCTGACTCATTAAAGTTCAACCAACAAACGGTGTTTTTCTTCTTCTGGGGCGCTCGTCAAAGCGCCCTTGATATGCAGCGAAATAGCCTATCATTAAATGGTTGCCAGGGGAAAATAATAAATATTTGACCTATCAGCGTCGCTGAATTAAATGGTTTGGGGGCGCTTAAAATTGCGCCCCTGCAGAAAACGCGCGAAGATTTGCTGTTCTAGAATTTTACCTCAGTCAGTAGCCTAAGTGAGCTATAAGGTCAGAGAGAGACGATGGCAGCGGTATTGTTAACGGTTGAGGCACAGCCTCCCCCAAATTCGGTTAGATCGCTTCTAACCTACCCTTTTGCCAGAAGGACAATGGCAGAAAAACTGCAAGTTAAAGAGTTGGGACCTGACAAGCCCGAAATTCAACTAACCCAGGCAACGAAGGAGAAGTCAAAAGCATACAACAGGACTTTTTGTCGGAGTTGGTTCCAGCGCAAGTCGTGGCTGACAGGCTGTGGAACAGCTAATGCACTTTTTTGTTTCCCGTGCATACTGTTCAAAAGTGACAAGTGTGATTTGACGTGGACACAATCTGGACAAACCGACTTAAAGCACCTCTCCGAACGAATCAAGAAACATGAAAGCTCACGAGTTCATATGGACAACAGTGTAAAGCTAGCTGTGCTAGGGAAAACTAGCATAGCGGCGCAGCTAGATGATGGACATCGGATTGCTTTAAGAAGGCACAACGAAGAGGTAGATAAAAACCGTCATATTTTATCTAAAATCATCGATTGTATTAAGTTTTGTGGTGCTTTTGAGCTAGCAATGCGGGGACATGATGAAAGTGATTCCTCAGACAATCCAGGGATTTTTAGAGGTTTAGTCGACTTGATGGCATCAATTGATCACGACTTGAGGCAACACCTTGAAAATGCTACTGTATTTAAAGGCACCTCGAAAACAGTCCAGAACGAGATCCTGGATTGCATGTTGGCAGTTCTGAGAGAAAGGATCGTGGAAGAAGTAAAGGCAGCGAAGTTTTTAGCCATTCAAGCTGATGAAACCACTGACATTTCTACACACTGTCAGTTAGTCATGGTGCTAAGATACATTGACCAACGAAACCGTATTCAAGAGCGTTTTTTTGAATTCATCAAGCTACCCATCTAGCAACAAATTAAAATTGTGTTGTTTGATGTACTCATTAAATGGGTCATTTTAGTCGATATCATAAAAATTGCCCCCCCTGAGATTTTTTTCAGGAGCCGCCACTGGTGAAGAGACAGCTAGATGAAAAATAAATTCTATATATTTTTTAATTAATAATAACATGTTGAAGCAGAAATTACCCAATAAACAAAGGAGCATAGCAGAATTATACTTTGACTTTAAGGCACACAGTGTGGTGATTGCAGGTAGATGGAACTCTCCAGCAGCACCGTGTCGAACAACTTTTCAGGAGGAAATCGTGCTTTGTGCGCTGCTCAGAAGAGCTGCAGCTACTACAATATTTTTTTTCATAACTGTCACCATCAAGTGTCTTTATTTTTTTAATTAAATATTCAAGTAGATCTAAAAGATATCCTTCGAGTGCTCCCTTTTTTCCCAACGGGTTGTGACAATGGGTTGATTGGGCACAGATTTTACACCGGATGCTCTTCCTGACGGCAATCTTTCTATTTATCCCGGTTTATCCCGGCACTAGGACTGCGCTGCCGTGTGACCACAGAGGCAGGGCTTGTGTGTCCTCCCAGTCTTGGGCTGGGAATCTTCCACATGGAAGGTGAACGCGTTAAACACCAAACCGTGGAGTCACTTTACATATTTCTTTCTTAATATTTGTTTATATAATCAAATTTACGATGTTGATATTGACGTCCCTGTTGGATAATTATTGATATTTTGTCCTAATTATCACTTAAAGGGTTTCATGCAGACACTGAACATATGCAGTGCGTTGCAGCTGAATAACGATAAACTGTAAAAGTAAAAATAGTTACACCGAGATTTATTTATTTATTTGAATATCAAGTGGAATACGTTGTGGTACTTCCATATTTCTGTACGCGTAGCGCTTACTGCAGCTCTCCTGGTCCCACCCCCACTGATTTAGAAGTGGCAACTATGAAGGTCTGGGACAACCTGATTACACTGAAAAGGAAGTCGGAGGAGGGAGAGGTTACAAACTGCAGACCCTCACACACACTGCACCACATGATAAAGGCAAAAGGCGCAAACAACAACAAAAACAGCGCCACACACACTTCACCATCAAGAAATACTGCAGAATACTTCTAAGAAACTTTTGTACTACAGATGTGCAGCTTCCAAGGTAGGGGCACTATTTTTAGCCAGTCATGGACAATCTGTACTTCAAGCTCTGGAATTCTGTATTTTTTTTAATCTTTTTTTTTTCTTCAGTCTTGATGATGATATTTGGGCTAGAAGGTTTGCCATACAGCGTAACTGGAATACCTGAAAATCATCTTTTTCCTTCATATAGCAGTGCTGCAGGAAAATGAGTTTTCATTAGTTCATCAAAGCTTATTTGTAATGCGCAATAACAATCCCTGCTCATTTTATGGATCCATGTATGAAATTGAAGTCATGAAGGAAGAAGAGCTTTCTTCGTGCCTTCTTTTACGCATGCAGTCTGTATAAATTAGAATGAAATACAAAGAAAGAGCTGGTTTTAAAACATTAATTACATCCTTCTTTGGGCTGTCTTTAAAAACAATTTCTCAAGAAGACATTTAGAGAAAATCTCATCATCTGTAATTCACCAAGATCCAACTTGAATGCTGATTTAATCAGAATTTCCGTCCAAACTTAATGTCCTGTCATTCGGTGCTTGTGCTCTGTCAGGTTTAACTGAAATGGCAGCAGATTTTTCATCAAATAAGATTAAATATTAAGACCGAGGCAAAGATGTATTGGTAGATCCTTTGTTAGAAGCTCAACATTAAAGCTAAGAATGTTTTTTAAAATCTTAGTGAAGCAGCCGTGAGACACAAAGAAAGTCTTCTTTAGAATCCAAACTTTTCCTAATCCTAACTTTTCTACTCTCCACTGTCTCTTTGCTATCTGCTAACAGGTGTCATGTTTGAGTGAAATGAATGTTAAGCAAAAATCTTGATAAAGTTGGCAATGCTACTTATTTGATGGCTGAAAAGAATTAAAGAGGCGCCTTTGCGTGTCAGTAATATTAGAAGAAAACACCTATGTACTAGCTCTTTCTGCTCTTTGTGTAGGAAATTGTCTTTTTTTTGTATGGTTTTTATGCTTATGGAGGACTCGCTGTTGCACTGGCCATCTGCTGTGCCAGCTGTTCGCTTTGGGTCATTGCATTAGATTGGTCTAACAATACTCCAGCTTGCATGACCATGATTCACCAGCGTAATCACCAGTGTTTACCTGGAAGTCCGACACTGGTCATAACGTTAGCTGGCTATTAGCAACCGCTCACTGACCGTGGACCTCGGTCATGCACAGCTTTCCAGGAGGTCCCCTCTCTTTCCAGCAGGCGGAGGGGCAGATGACGTTGGCTGAACGGCCTCACTTAGCCAAAGGCCATGCACTCTTACTGGTACGTTAGCTGCCCTCTGCAGTGCTCAGGGATGTAAAAATAGCTGTTTAGCAAGAATCTCAGTCATGTCTCACCAACAAAGACTGATTTATACAAGTTGCAGCACCAAGCATAGAGAAGCTTTTGTCCCTCCCCTCCTACTCCTTTTGCAGACCTCGTCACCAAGGCCGTGAGTGCCAAAATCTCTGACGCTCTTGACACTCTTCTCTTAAAACAGCCTTTGTTCAGCAAAGTATAAAGGACGTGATAGCGAGACTCAGGGAAGCAGTGTGGTCTCTAAAAATTTGCGCATTTGTTTACCGCATTTCAGTAAGATCGCAGTGTCATGGAAATGTTTTGTAGTAGTTTGTTTGCCTTTCTGCGTCAGCGATCGCAATTTCATAATAATCAGGCATTTAACCCAAATAGCTGAAAATGTCACAGGGACTCTGTGAAATTCGCTCCTTCAGTTTTTGTTTCCCCCCAAACTCGATTTGAAAATTGATAACTATTAAAATAAAACTGGCCAGCATTTGGCAGCACAGAGGAAACAGTGTTACTGTTTTGGGGTTGCTGTAGTGTGACCTTTCTCTGACTCCACTTAATCACAAGAATTTCCATATTAGTTATGCATATCAACAGTGGAAGAAATACTCGTTCAGATACGCGACATGCTTAAGTGTTTACACAGGAGCGGCTTTAATTGTTTGGATTGAAGCTAGAATTTGATTAGATCGACATATCCTCTTTTACAGCACTAAGGATTGAATTTCATGTATAATTTTCCTCATGAACACCAAGTAAGATTAGAGCATCTAATACATATAATTTTTTTTCCTCACCTCCCTCCAGGCACCCTTAGAATGAGACAACTCTGAAAAGTACACAAATCAATACAGACACACTGGTTACTGCAGTACATTTAATTTCCTGCTGTGGAAAGATTTATCGTGTGAGTGTGAGGCTAATACAAGGATTTTTTTTTTATATTATATGAAATAACCAATAAGAGATGTGTTTTCTATGTGGTCATAAAAATTGAGTCTGGTGGTGATTTTTGGCAGATAAAAGAGAATCATTTACTTTTTTTTTGTTTGTTTTGTTTTTTCTTCATATTATCACCAAAATCTTGACCTTCTCTCTTTCTCCCTCAGCTTCACCTCGTGCATATCCCGTGCCCCGTCTCTCCATCAGCTCTAAACCTCACACTGTGGTTTTTTTCTTCTTCTTCTTTTTCTGAACAAACAGAGAAGCTGTCTTAGACGAGATGAGTCAGTGCAGCTGGGGTGCAGGTCATTTACCCGCAGCCCACTCAGATGGGACAGATGGCTCAGCCAGTCGCATGCTGCTTGGTGTTAACTGTGCACCCAGAGCTAAGCTAAAGCTAACGCTGAGTGCAAAGGGTTCAGCTAATCACAGATCTATAGGTAAAAGTGAAAAATGCACAGGTGATGACTCAATAGCTCAAGACGGGAGTTCGGTATAACGATAGAATCTACGTTTACTTGTTTACTTGACTGTAGGTTAGTGAGGTACTGAGTTTTCTTTTTACAGCAAAGGTCATGTGTGAAATCCTGACACAGCACGGCTCAGCTATGGTTACATGTTTGAGGCTGAGGCTTAAAATTGACAGAGGGCCAAAAAAAAAAGACCAGGATATAGCTGAATACAAATGTGGCACGGTTTGTGCACAGAACAACCAGGAAGCTGACTTTCAGATTGCATGTGCCACTTTTTTTTTCTTGTTTATTTTACCGTGTCCCTTGTTCTCCAATGTGGTTTGGATCATGACGATGACAAAACAGCCACACGCCAGGACTGAAAGGTTCAGCTTTGCATTGTGATATTAAGGTTAAAGGATATTTCTGGTGTTTCCTGTAAATGTCGCAGTTGTGACTCTGTGAGTCTTTACTTGACATTCTCTGCCTGTGATTCAGAGATTGGGGGGGATCAAGAATTTATGCAAAACACATGATTTTTAACATCACCTTTTTTCCCCGCCACTTGTCTATTGAGTCTGACCTAAAGTAAACACAGTAAGTAGCCACACTGGAAGACACTTTACTGCGAACTGTGTTAGAGATTAAATTTAAAGGCAGCGTCTTATAATAACTGTTCTTAGGATGACATATTAATGCTTACTAACATTTGTGCTGTTTTTCAGCACAGCACAAATACATTTCCTGGATTCTCACAGTCATAATTTATTTAAAACTAGAGTATTCTCCAGCAGCCCCCCTTTTCCTTCAAAACAGGAAAGTGAATGGGATTTGTTTGCATGCTGTCTGTGCAGATGTTTTGATTGTGTGCATATGCAGCACTTTTTCTTTTTTTTCTTCTTTTGACTAGTTGGCAGTTCAACTTTAATGTTACTAGTTGGAGAGCTGCTAATGCTCTGACCCAAAGTTTCTGATGTTTGGGGTCGACGTTTTTCAATTTGTAGTTTTAGGAGTTTGTTTAATTCACAGCAAGTTAATGAAATCTTAACTGCTCTTTCCCTGTGTTCTGTCTTTGTCTGTTTCGCTGAGTCTTTGCAACACTGTTTTTTTTTTTTTTTTTTTTTTTTTTTTTAATAAATCAGCAGTTTGAGGCTTAGGTACGTTATGAGTCATTTGGACTGAAACTTGTCTTTGGTCTGTTGCTTGACTTTAGTAATGTTACCAATCCTGAGGATTAACATTACCTTTACTTGGATTGCTTTTTGCGCTGGTACTTTCAGTTTCTGGTATTTTATTTGTCTTTTGACACCACATATATTCAAGTTTATTTTTCTGCTGGCAATCCAGATTTACATGCCCTCAGGTTCACAACTTTGGAACCATTAAGTTCACCAGCAGTAGTAGTAGTAAGGTATGTTTTGGTCTTTTTTTCCTCTGATTTGAGCGTTTGGCTGCTCTCACTAAAGTAGTGGTAATAAAAGCACTGCTTATTTGTTTCAGTCAGAGGGTGCAGCCCTTCAGCATAGTGTTGTAATCAGTTATTGTAAGTGTCCTTTTGGCCTCCTGACAATTGACTTTGGTACACTGCATTTAATATGCATAGTCACGACTTGTGCTTGCATTACCACTGATCGGCACACATTAAACACTGACAAACTCTCCCTGAAGCAGAAATAACTCTTCACATGTTGTCCAACAGATTTATTAGTGAGACGGCACACCTTACTGTGTCCTGAACAAACGACGTTATGTAACATCCCGACTGCCCATGTGCAACTGTAGATTCACATAGGCCTTCCTCTCTGTCATTTACCATTAGGCATATGGAGGAGTTTAAGTATGCAGCTTAACAGCCTGTGATGAGAGTACATTTGCATTAGCAATTAGGGCACTTAAAGGCCTTTAAAGCTACATTAAGCTATCTAAACCATGAAGCGCAATTAGCCTTTTAAGCGTAGTAAAGCTGGAGTTGCTGGAGCTTGAGTGTTGTTGGCAGGGTGCTTCACTAGCAGCCAGTTTCACAAATTCAGAGTAATAAATTACATCAAATTCTTGTACTCTGAGTACTATTTCAGCATTTAGTCAAGTTTGGCAGCAGCAGCATGGAAAAGCACATAGCTCAGAAGTGTGTATTTATTTAAATCATACTGCATTTGGGAGCTTAGTCTTTAATCAACACACTGTGGTATCATTTTGGTTCAGTCATTTCTTCCTCTGTTATGGACTTTGGCATAACTTGGTAACTAGCAATACTTTCCCCAACTAGCTTATTTCATGTGTTGGCATAGAAGTAAGATACTGAAATGTTACACAAGCAAATGCCAACAAGCTGAAACAGGGGATAGTGTCAGTATTGATACCAATCAATGCCTAAATGGCATAGTTTGTCTAATTGGCTTCCAGTGCAGTGGGAATGTTTCCAGACTCCTTCAAGTTGTTTCACTTTCCACATCAACAAGCTCAAACTGCCCGTGTTGGGTTAACATACTACAAAATAAAAGACTGACATTTCTGAAAAAACAAAAACTGATGAATAAAGCAAAAGCTACAGTTTGTCGTAGGCTGCAGCCTCCACCATCAGAGGTCTGCAGGTGCAGGCTGGTTTCATATATGCTCTCAAAAGACCAGCATGGAGATACAGGTTGAGAGGAAGAGTCCCGGTCCCTTCACAGACCCATCTAACGAATTCCGATTATAGCTTCCTCTAGGTAAATCATGTAGCTCTCTTTCTGTCATCTTGAGATTACGTGTTTAGGTAGGCGCTGCACAATAAATAAAATCTAGGGTAGGCCTACCCTCTGTTGTGATTGATGCTAGAAGATACAGCTAATTTGTCTTTCACCATTTCTCTCTTTGTGGAATTAAATAGGACTGTAACATTTGCAGATTTCCCCCCACTTTATGCTCTTTCCCCACTTCTCTCCCCCACCCTTGCCTCCGTCATTCTCAGTGATGTTGGGTCAGGAGGGCTCTGACGGCAGCGTGACTCCACTCAGTTGGCATCTCTTTTCAAACTTCCCACCCTCCTTTCCTGTGTCACCATCTTAGTGAGCCCCTCAATGCCCCCTCTGTCTGCTCCTAGTAGGCTCCAGGCCCTGGGTGGGCAAATAGAGGGTCTCTTCCTGTGTCCCATCCCATCCTATCAGAAGGCTTACTTGGAGAAAACGGGTTGAGGGATGAACCACGGCTGGCAGGCACAGCTGCCATACCAAGGGAGCCCTCCCCATCCGGATCCAGCATCGTCCCATGCTGTCCCATTCCCAGCCCTGGAGCCACGAACACTAGACTTCTACAAGCTGAAGCGGGCTCTGTGGGTGAACTTCACAGTTCAGACTAGGACAGTGATTTAGAGAATGCTGGAATAGACATGCGTAGACCATGTAGTCATTAGGCACTGCAAGCAGTCTTAGATCAACTTGGATTTAGCCATGAATTGAACACAGCAGCAGCTACAATGGACTATACAAACCACAAAGCAGGACTAAAGACCCCATCATAGTCTTCATCAGCATCCACAGGAGGTGGGTAATAGTGGGCAGCAATCAATTGGCCTTGCACTCTTGTGTTGTTGTGCTTGTGTTGACCATTTTGTCTGTGTACTGTACATGCACTAACGACAAGGATGTGCAGAATTTTTATATATTTTGTTTTCTTTTTCATCTCATATTTTATTGGAGGTAACATAACCCATCCTTTCTCAATTACTTTGGGGCTTAAAAGACTTTTAATTTATCAAAAAAGGCCCAGTTAAATCTCTGCATCACCAAAAGTTAAAAAACAAAAACTGCACCATGCATGTGAAAGGCAAGATGCTTACTTGTAGCATTGTTCTATTCAATTTATATAAAGGTAAATCCAAAGGAAACTCACGGCTAGTGCCTGACTACACTGTCGCTCCCCATGCACTTTTATAAAAGGAACACTTTTTAACACACTTAAATCTTAAATCGTTTCAGTCTGGTAGGAGGTAAATGAGAAATGTGATTACGGACCACTGCATGGTTTTTAACTTCTTTATTGCAGTTCCTGCCAATATATTCCACAGTTCGTTGCACTGATTTGATTTCTACTTCTTTCATGTTGTCTTGTGTGCATAAACATGATTATGCATCCATGCCAGTGACATGAGGTGCAATTTAGGAGCTGTGTGAGGAGCTGGCCATCAGGGATGCTAAGACCCTGGGTGGTGTTTTCATTTGTGTGTTATTAACTATGTAGGTGTTAATTTTTATTCATATGCCTAGGGCTGGCTGGGCAATGCAGATCTTTGGTAAAAAAACAGTGCGAGTGTGTATAATTGTGCATAAGAAAAACTGTGTGAAATCCCACAGATGGAGGAGAGATGCTCTAGCTACCACACAGCTTGTCCTCCTAGAACCACTTCAGTCTGTGACCATGCTAATGTGGCAGTGCAGAAACACTGCGCACGGATTCATGGCAACACTGACTACTGCTTTTAACTGTGGCTGGCCCATAACACAGTATTGCATGTAGGTTTAAAACTGGCTTTTGTGTTTGCATCTGTTGTTACACTGTAAATACATAGTTTGAAATTATTATATTTTAACAATCTGTCCCAGGACTGAATCATCAATATTTTAACTGATATAATAACTCATTATTACATTTTCAGTACTTTTATTCTCTGGACAGGTGCTTTAACATATGTATTATCATTTATTATAATGAATGACTTCAAGTGTGTTTTTCAAACAGAAGGCACATTTTTGTTAAGATTGGTTATCAGTGACATCTCATGCTGTTGTTGTGTATTCAGTTTGAGTCGTCATTGTGCAGGAATTGCAGATGTTGTCTGCTTGTGTGACATATTTGTCTCTTGTTATTATTATAATTTTTTTTTCATGACGTAAATGATCAGTCCTGTGTATATCTTCACCGGGAGGAGGCCCCAGGGCAGACCCAGGACACGCTGGAGAAATGATATCTCTCGGCTGGCCTGGGAACGCCCTGGTGTTCCCCTGGACAAGCTGGAGGAGGTGGCTGGGGAGAGGGAGGTCTGGGCTTCTCTGCTTAGGCTGCTGCCCCCACGACCCGGTCCTGAATACACGGAAGAAGATGGATGGATGGATGGTGTATATTTTTAAAAAGAACTTTGCTCTGTGGCTGTGAAGCAGTTTTGTGGAGCAGGTTTCACTTGCCCGTGTCTTGAGTGTATACGACTTACTCAGTTGTCAACACTCTCTCCCTGGGCGGGCCTGGCCTCGCTGTAACCCAAGCTCTTGGTCCTGCTGTTCCCTGCAGGGTAACCTGACCCAGGATCGCTTTGTCATATGGAAGAGAGAGAGAGAGGTTCCTTCTCCACACCCACCATCTCGGTCAAACCAGCACGGGCACATGAGCCTTGTGTTTTTTGTTTGTGTTTTTTTTCCCTTTCTTTTTTTTCACCACCCAAGCTTTTGTACTTTGATATTTGAAATGTGATATTTAAGTGGGCCTACCTCAAAGGATGTAGGTTTAATAGGTTTAAGCCTCAGTTCGGATTGTGTGGGTGTGTTTGTGATTATATAATGCAGGCCTTTTGAACTAGAGTGTGTGAAACATGGGCTGCATGCATGAGTGCACTATGCAAGTGTGTGATGTGAATGTTCTTTGTTAAACGTTTCAGTCTGTTCTTGTATATCTGTGTGCTTGTAATTGAAAATCCAAGAGCTCTGCAGGTCTGCTTGTTTGCTCATCCTGTTGGTGGAGGGAAAGGTCTGATGCTCTTCATGCCGTCTCAGTGTGGCGCTTGGCCCACTAACAAAGGACACCCTGTGGATGGAAAAACAACAGAGGGATGAAAAAACAAGGCCAGAGCATTGTTAATAGGGTCAAAATCTTATTCCAAAATAGCAACAACAAAGCTTTAGTTTGCATTCCTCACACTCTGCTGGTATGCTTCCTTATCTGTTTGATCTCAGTGGTGGTTGTTTGTCTACTAGATCTCGTGTGCCATTTTAAACTCACATGTCAAATATCGCTCAGAGGTTCTGTTGGGTTGGCCGTTTCCATTTGGTGTTGCAAGACATTTGATAAATCTTTGAAAAAAGAAAAGAAAATCCCTTTTTCCTCGGCCCCTGGCTTTAGCAGTAAAAGGAAGTGAAATATTTTTGGACAAATCCTCTGTCCTCTACAAAATCGCCTTTTCTGTCTTGGGCAATTCTCACTAATAATTTCACAGAGAGCTTATTTTGAGCTCTAAAACAAACATTCATTTCAGCTGCCATGACTCAACAAAAGCAAGAGAGCATGACTTCTTTGACTCAGCATTTATGTGTGTCTGTGTGTTTATTGAATGTTGAATGCAGTGACAAAGCAATCCTTCCTTTGGCTTTGTACACCCAAGTGGGCCCCTGACTCTTAGGCTACGTTCACACTGCAAGCGAAAGCGCATCAAATCTGACTTTTTTTAAACTTTGCGACCCATATCCGATCATGGTGTGACAGTACAAACAGCACAAATTCGATATTTTCACATCTGACCTGGGTCACTTTTGTATGTGGTACTGAATCCGATACATATCTGATGTTTTAGAAAGCGACTGCTGTTTGAATGGTCAGGTCGCATTAAATCCATCTTTTACGTCACTAAGACAAGACGGTTATCAGCGCCAGAGAAGCGCTCGAGAAGACATCGCGAAAGCTTCCTGGCGATCCAGTAAAACTGTTGGGAAGACAACATTGGAGAAACGTGAACATTTTATTTGTACTGTATAATCTGCAGATTCTGACAGAAATCTGCAACTATCCTTTGAAGCACCGCTCCTCTAAAACAGCAATAAGGATAATTATTAGGCCATTTGTAAATAACAAAATAACTTTATACCTTAAAGCAAAATTGGGAAACGTTAAGTCAGAAACAAGTCTTTATATTAAGGGCCATCAGTCAAACCATACTGTCTGGTCTGGATCTAAGCTGAGCGCGTTGTGTGTGACGTCTTCTTTTGCGCATGCGGGCCGCTTTGAGGGTTCACACTAGAACGCGTTTGCTGTCACATTTTATTTGTAGTGTGAACATGTGAACAAGTTCAGAATCTGCAGTAAGAAGAAATATAAAGAAGTAAAACACAAAAGTTTAAAAAAATGGACGGCCCTGCTCCTGCAGCTCTCACCTGTTTGCACTGAAAGGATTCAGCCTCAGATGAGAGCCTTTAACCCGTGTTCTGATTATTATTATGGAACTTTTTTTGTCCAGTTACCCCAAATACTGTTGCTTATCCACCCGAACTTACTATTGGCTTTTCCCATATGGTGCTCTCATGCATCTAAACCTGTTGTCTTGACAAGGGATCCTCTGATACTGGTATCTGCTGATACTGATCCAAACATAGTTTTAACATAATAAGATGAAATCCTAATTTGCTAATTCCTCATGTTTGATGTAAACTGCTTACTCACTTAAAAATAAAATGTAAATAAATAAAATATTTTTATTTTACATTTTTTTTTCTCTTCACAAACACAAGTCACGTGTGGAGCTGCCAAAGAGCCGGAGTGAAATATTATTTAACTGAGTTTAGGACAACATGCTAAGTTACTAAAATAAAAGCTTCGTAACAAACCAACATGTTGGGAGTGAAAGTGGGCGAGAGAGAAAGAAAGCATAGTCGTATTCTGATCTTTTCAGTCATGCCGCTTCACTTTGACGTTACTTTGACAATGTTTTTAATTAACTGCAAACATACAAATAAGAGCTGTCGGTGTACCAGGTGTGGAATACCTCCTAACTGCTGCTGCTATGCTTACCTTAGGTAATCTGATCCAGGCTTTTGGGGTCAGTTTCGGAGCAACACCCTGTCCAAATATCCGTCCTAGTCTTAGTGATTCTGGTGTGAATGAGCACCCTTGGAGTTTGAATGCATGCTGTCATACTAAAGCAGGGGTTAAACTTCCTGTGCCTGATAATGCTGTACTTTGCTCCACTTGGGTATGAATGGCACTGAGTTTTGTCATCGATGAGTGAACGTGAGGCTCCGAGTGGACAGGCGCACACACACAAACAGAGAAAGTCCAGGATGAATGACCCAATCAAAATGTTTGCTGCCACAAGCGTAACAACTCTTGCACGTATTCCAAATATTACAGTTATTATGGCTCGAAGAATAATGTTATAAAAGGCAACCTAGCAGTGAATCACAGTAACTGTCACTTTAACATAGTGATGAAGCTGGCAGTCTTACATATCCTATATCTGAAGAGCTAATCATGATTACAGATGAACTGTACGTGGAATTAGTGGCACAAAGGAATGTTTTCATCACAATTTATTACTGATGCATTAGATTATGGTAAATAGCCTCCCATGGTCCCATTCCATTGTTTCATTAATGTCCTTAATATATTCAAGGATTATATTGCCAGATTGCTTGCTCAACCCTTTATTTACAGTGCTGAGCTCTCGTCTGCTTATGTCTCCCCCCCTCCCTGTGTCTGAGTTTGAACTCTTTTGTCTGCTATGTGATGTCTTTTTCTCACAGACAATAAATTGGATTTGAAAGAGAGGACCCAATTGCCCGTTTCTTATTATAGATTTGGTTGTTCACTGCAGCCAGGGTGCTAGACCAAACTATGTGGCTTTTGTTCTGGTTATCCCAGACACATATTTCTGGTTGCGGGCCTCTTCCCTCTGGCTCTCACTGTTCTTTTAGCAAGGGCAGTGCAGCTGGTGGAGAATGCACACAAAGACACAAGCTATGATAGGACACAGTGGCTAAACTGAAAAAAGTACAGCATTTGGCCAGCCTGTAGTCATCTGGGAACGGAGAAGTCATTGTGAGAACACACATGTAACCTTTGGCCTCATTTCTGTGCTCACCCTGCAGGCATGGAAGAAGCGGTGGTTTGTTCTTCGCAGCGGCCGTCTGACAGGCGACCCAGACGTGTTGGAGTACTACAAGAATGACCATGCCAAGAAGCCCATTCGTGTGATTGACCTCAACTTATGTGAACAGGTATGCTCCCCTTTTACTTCTGCCCTGTAGTTTTATTGCACAAGTTATATAAATTATTACCATCTTGAATAGATCCAGGTTTGCATGATGTCACTTTGATGTATTTGGATGAATATTTGCATAATATCCAAGATGAATTTAATTGTCCTTAAAAATCTGTGTAAAATAATGAAAATGCCCTATACGTGACTGCGGTGTACAAATGTTTTAGCATAATAGTTTAAGTGCTGGGTTCTAGCGCTCCAAATTTCATTTGTTGCTTAGAGAGCAGTTACCTTTTAGATTATTTTTGCAAATTCTCTTAATTAAGAATGATCATTTTAATACATTTTCCCTTTTTTTCGTTTCTTTGGTTAGCTCTATTAGTGATCAGTCTTTCCTTGGCTGATGCCACATTAAGCTAAGCCGTGTCGTTTGCTCTCCCTCAGGTGGACGCCGGTCTGACCTTCAGCAAGAAAGATTTGGAGAACAGCTACATATTCGACATCAAAACCTTTGACCGCATCTTTTATCTGGTGGCTGACACCGAAGACGAGATGAATAAGTGGGTCCGCCACATCTGCGACATTTGTGGTTTTAACCCCACCGATGACGGTAATTACAATTAGCCACACATCACTCTGTTCGGGCACTATTGGCACTGATGTTTTGCGTCACTGTCGAGGTTACACAGTGATATTTATGTTTATATATACTTATATTCTGTGTCTTTCGAGTAGAAAGTTTACTTTGAACTGTTGATATTTGAAATAGGGTGATTTTGTTACATTTGTGGCACAGGCTGTGATTTATTTAAGAACATCAGTAGATCAGAGATAATAACCTGGTTATATGTTTCACCATAATACACAAAATCTCGGTTTGCATGTTTGTGTGTTTCTTTTTCCACAAACTTCCCCTAGACCATCAGGAATTGAGCCACCAAAAGTGGTGCACAGGCACATGTTAGGCTCTCTTATCTGCATCGGATATTTTCACATCATCATGTTGGTTTGCAGCCACCTAGCATCAGGCTAAAGCAACCCATTTTTAGCGTTAATGCACCTGCAACACCTTAGAAAAGCATCCTAATCTCATTACCACAGAATGCATAATGTAACTAGAAGTAGTAACTAGTAACCAGAAGCGTAGTAGCTGTGGACAGCAATGAATATTTTTTAGTGTATGAACAACATCTGCCATCTCTCTCTCTTTTTTTTTTTCTTTTTCTTTTTTTCCTTTTCCTTAAGTGAGATTCAGTATATCATGGCAACAGCATGAACAGGCAAAACGATCCTGTAGCATGGCCATGTAAGTTTCTCCAGGTAAGAACTGCAGCTTTAAGCGATCCAAGGATTCCCCTGTTAGAAGATGACTACAGGAAATCACTATTTGTCCACGCTGGTGTCTCTCAACAAAGCGCTTGGACATGGTGAAGATGCCATGGAGCATCAGGGGATTCTTTTTAGCCATGACACCAGTTTATCACTACAGCTGAGCAATACAGGATAAAAGTAGAGGATAAATGATTTACATTTGATGGGTCTCTTTTGGATATCACTGTTGTACCTCACAGATGTCGGGATCTTTCTTTCTGAAGGAACTAAGGGAACCAGTTAAATGTGTCAAGAGGTCTCTATTCAGCATAGTTCTCAGCCAAGGTCTAATGATCCATGTGTTGAACTTTGTGCAGTATTGAAGCTCACGTTACTCTTTTTTTCCCCCCAGTACTGGATAATAAAAGCATTGTACGCCTGTCACTCTCACTGGCCTTCTTTCGTTCGTTTCCTCTTATCTGGTTTTAATTTCCTCTCCCTTGAACACTCCTCTTTTCCTCTCTTGTCGCTCTGTCTTTGAGACTAATTGTCTAAATGTCTTCTATAGTTTCTTGACCTCATCAGCGAAGCAATGAGCATTTTTAGTGTGGTGAGAACTGGCACAGACGTTGCACATGTTCACTGTTTCACATGCTACACTAGGGCTGGGCTATATCATACCGTTCACGGTAATACCGGTGTAATTTTGGGCAACGATAAGAAAATGAAATATCGCGATAGAATATGGGTAAAACACGCATGCGCAGTGCCTATGTTTACATACGCACATGGCGGCGACGCAGAATGAGAAGAGCGAAAGCGGATCGTTGAATGAAACTGATGAACCAGAATTGGTTTGTAAAAATGCTTCAACTTCAGTGGTGTGGAACTGGTTTGGCTTTCGTCCGTCAGATACACAACAAAGCACTATTTTTGGTAGAGCATGCTAGCGGGCCGTCGTTATTACCGTGTTTTTTTGGAAAATACGGCACACTTAAAATCAATCCTTTGATTTTTCTGAAAATCGACACTACCCCTTATAATCCCGTGTGCCTTATGTATGAATTCTGGTTGTGTTTACTGACCTCGAAACGATTTTATGTACACGGTGCTCGAAAATCTGTCAAATGTTTTAGTACGACTTTGCTAAGCTACAAACCCGCACCGCTTGATGGATTGTCAGAGCATTACGGCTATCGTAGGCAGGAGCCTCGCGGAGTGATACGTACTGTGCTTCAACATAATATTACCGTAATGTGTGTGTATAACCTCTGAATCCGAGATATATCTGATGTTTTAGAAAGCGACTGCTGTTTGAATGGTTATGTCGCATTAAATCCATCTTTTACGTCACTGACACAAGACAGACGCCAATTATCAACAAAGTTTTGTGGATGTTATGCTGAGGATATGTCGGCCAATTTCCACTAGAAATGCCTTTTGGTTAAACTGTCAGCAAGGAATTTGCACTGTTACATTTTTATATAACTTTAATGCACATAAAAAAACAGCTGCTTGTTTAAGTGAAAATATATTGATGTTTGGGGTTTTTTGCACTAATAAAGTTGTGGAGATGTAAAGTATTTTGTCTAGTGTCAATTATATCGTCAGTTATATCGGTATCGCAAATTTTCAAATGTATATCCATCCATTCGCTTCCGCTTCTCCTTTTCAGGGTCGCGGGGGGCGCTGGAGCCTATCTCAACTTTGATAGGGCGAGAGGTGGGGTACACCCTGGACAGGTCGCCAGTCTTTTGCAGGGCCAACACACGGGGACAGACAACCATTTGCGCTCACATTCACTCGCACATTCACACCTAATGGCAATTTGGATTTTCCAGTTAACCTATCCCCACAATGTATATCGTGATAAATATTTTTGGTCATATCGCCCTGCTCTATGCTACACAACTCTGATTCTTGTTGGAGACGAAGGTGCTTTTCAAACCTGGCAACTGAGTCACTGATACTCCTCCAAGGTCATTCTCTCCAAAGTGTGACTATGCCTCCAGCTCTGTTAAATAGCTAGTGTTGCAGGGTAACCATGATAACAACACTGATGGCACCTTTTCTGTAGATGTCAGAGCTGGCTTTGAAAACCCCGATGTACGAACTGATAGTAAGACTGTTAAAGGAGAGCCTGGGTGTAAAAACGGATATCTTTGCAGATACCCTTCACTGCTCAGTACAAAAGAATGTCCCTGGCTCTCTGTTTTGTGCTTGCTTGCACTTCTCTGCATGTGAGACAGAACTCTCACTCCTCTGTCGCGTGTGGGTGTGGCCACAGTAGAGTGCTTCATAGCTGGGCAGGGAACATTAGTAGGGCTAGGGGAATGAAGGCTCTCAGAGCGAGTGTAGGAGGTATAGATTAGTACACGCAGAGGGGATTTTCCCTTTTCCTGTATGAATCAGCACTTAAAGCTTCAACAAACAAATGTCAAAAAAAAGACAAGGACATAGCGGAGGTGATGAGAGGAGCAAATGATGCACGTAAAAGAGAGAAACTGACTTTTAAAAGAAGAGAACTCAGGGACCTTGCATGAGATAAAACCACATCAGTTATAGAAGAGTGTGGGAGGAGAGCTGTGAAAAAGGAGAAAAAAGTAGAGAAATGTGGAATGAAAACACATATACGCATCAGCTATCTTGGCTCTGAGTGCAGTAGAACAATCAGCTTGAGCAGCAGGTTTGTTTAGTAGCTCATCATGTGGGAAAGCAGAGAGACCTTTAAAAATGATGTCTGAGGTGTAGCTTGTTGGAAGGCAAAAAACAGAAAGTAGTCTGTCGACACAAAGCTTTTATTCGGGTGACATGTTATACATGAAATGATGTAGGCTAACGCAGAGTCGCGATATCGGTGACATCCATCTGCTTTACTTTGACATGAGTTGTTTGTGCCAGTGTTCCTGGCCTCATGCTGGGCAGCGTGCTGCATTTGGATTTATTTCCTGTGGGATTTCTCCCCAAGAAGGAAGTGAGGTTATCGTAATTGTAGTAGGTTGTTGTGGCTTGTTGGGTCAGTCAGTAACAGTGTTTTAGCTGCAGGCTAACGACCTTAATTTGAGGTTTGGTTTGATATACACAGTAGAGGGACGCACATCTGTTCGTCAGAATGTGCGTATATACATCAGCTGCTCAAGTTCACACATACAGGCGCAAAGTTGACGTAGTGTCAGCGTGAATGGAAACAATTGAGCGTTACATTGGAATTGGGTTGCTAGGAAACAGCTTGGGTCCAAGTTTACTTTGCTAGAGTTGACATTGGCACATACAGTTTACTTTTTACTTTGTGCTTAATACCATCTCTGGCCTCTCTTTCATTTTCAGTGGGTTTCACAGGGCCACAGTAGGTGCAGCTCCTTGCTCTTCATCAGTGACTGCCAATGCATGTGGAGTCAAAGTTGAATAAACAGCTGGAAATGTAGCAGAAATGCTAATGTGCTCTGCTGGTGTTGCACTTAAAACTGTGAAGCAGGCATTTACTGACATCTGCTGAGCCACATGTGACAGGTCTTATTGGCATTATTTGTGGCTATTTTTTTTAGTTGTGTGATCAGTGTAAGAAATTAATCTTATTCATTCATTAAATTTTCCCTTTGCTGCTTAGACATTAATTCACTGGCAGTGGCCTGAAACCTCTGTGGTCAGTTATGGAGACAGCTTTACTGTATTTCATTCTTGAGTTCTGTGTACTACTCACTAAATAACATGAAGTTTTGACAGCTTTCATTTCTTTGTCCTCCAGATGCAGCAAAAGCTGCTCACCAGTCCGCCATGGGACTGGTGGTGGAAAATGCTCCACACCCAGGTCCAGGAGTGTTTACCAATGTGCCGGCCCCTTACCAGCCAGTCAGTGTGCGACACCTGGACTCACAGTCCAGTTCAGAGGAGCCCCAGGATTACCTGTGGCTTGCTAACTGTGAGAGCAAAAAGCCTGAACCCAGCAGGTGAGACCGTGTCCGAATATGCTTCTTTTATAGGTTCAAGTCTCCATATTCTCTATGTTGGAGTGTCGCATGGTGAGCTAAGCATTTTTCAGTGTGGTTTCCAAGCCATTTATTCTTTTTGTATACTTTCAACTGTACTGCCACTCCTGTCCTTGTCTCTGCCGTATGCTGTGTGTAGCTCAGTGGAGCATCACTCTCTCTTGGAGAGGGACCAGGAGTATTTGCTCCTGGAGGAGTGTGAGAGCAAGACTGTTCCTCCACAGGCTAGCCTGTGAGTGGCCAGCCAATCCAGCTGGAACTGCCTGCTTGTGTGGAGTGTTGCACACGCATAAAATACAGATCTCCAAACACTTGTGAATGTTGTAAATGTAAATGACGGTTATTAAATCTAGGTTGCATTTGTTTAGCAAAAGGCCTTCCTTCTAAACAGAAAAAGACGTGGGTGTTTTGCCTAACAGTGTAATAATTGTGTTATTTCCTGCATGGTTACAAACAGTTACCAAGAACCTCAGTCTTCCACTTTATCCACAAAAGCGTGCTGACATGGCAAGAGTTGGAAAAGTTTAATGATAAAAGCTGTCTGGATATGTAAAGTAAAGAAATGTAAAGTGTGCGTGTTAGTCCCCATAGGGAAATAGTTCCTCTGCATTTAACCCATTCACTCAGTGAAGCAGTGGGCAGCTTAGTTACTTAGTTACTAACATAGCCTTTGTATACTAGTGTTTTTGGCTTGGTGTGACTGTGTGATCTGCAAATCAACGTATTTTACTTTTTGTATTAATTATCTGGTGTTTATGTGTATTGTGTTATCAGAGCTCATGCTGAGTGCTCCAAGTCTACCTCTTCAGAGACAGACCTGAATGACAACCTTCCATCTCACCGCACGCCTACATCCTCCACTTCCTCGGCTAAACACACCTCACACAATGGCTTCTTCCCACCGCACCAGACTCCTGTGTCCGCCCCTTCCATCTATGACTCGCCTCCATCACGCGGTGCCTCCCTCTCAACTGACAGTGGCTTTTATCATCTTCCTCGCAGCTACTCCCAGGACACTGTGCTGCTCCCCAAGTCAGCCTCCTCCCCTCCGGCTCATCCAGACGGCGCGGATGCCTCTGACCTTTATGTCTTCAACACGCCGACACGGAAGCCCTCAGTAGAGACACAGATGCGCAACGTTTCTATCAGTTACGACATCCCGCCCACCCCCGGTGCAAACAGCACCTACCAAGTGCCCCGCACAGTATCGAACACAGGGGTAGGAGGCTCAGAAAGCGGGGGAGATGTAGTGCCCCCTCCCAGACCACCCAAGCCTTCCCTCAGTTCCAGCTCAGGACTCCCGCCGCCTCCTGCTGAGCGCTCACCTACAGACACCTATAGTGTGCCTCGATCAGCCTCAGAGACAGATGGAAACTACTGTGTGCCCACAAGCGCTGGGAGTAAGGCTTTACGCAGCAACACTATTGGCACTGTGGACTGTTCACGCCTCCGCAAAGGTTTGTATTGTATAGGTTTATTTGTTTGTGGTGCCCTTTTCACTTTATTTTAATTTCAAAACCTATTCTCACCTTTACCTTTTGGACAATACGGCACATATATGTGGTAGGCAGGATATTCTATTATTTAATCTTATGAAGATTTGTTGCACCAAAATCTAACAAAAGCAGATAAAAATGTTCTGAGTTTCCTTTTTAATAACAGTTCTTTAATCCATGGCCAACATCCTTTTTACAGAGCCTTAAAATAGTCTGGCAAGAGAAGAGAAACTCATGGTGTCGATTCTTCTTGCTTCTCCCTCTTGTGGTGTCAATCGGAATTGCAAAATAGGTCTTGCTTTATTTCTGTGAAGGTTCTCAGTCATCGAGGTCATCGTAGTCAAAGGTCTTGCTTTATTGTTTTAGATGAGCAGTGGTTATTCCCCCAATAAATTTGGGGCATTTGTGAATTTTTTCCCTTTTATGCTTTGTGTCTTGGTGACAGAGCAGATTATTGTGCCTAGGGCAGGGCTGCACTGTTATGGAAAAAAACACATTTTTTAAATTCGAGCAAATATTATAATTTTTTATAATTTATTTACTTAAGAAACCTCATAAAAGAGTTTTGTTTTTTTTTACACAGGATGTCCTTATTTAGAAAGAACTCCATGGAAAAACAAATAACTGAGTAACAAAAACAAGGTGAACGTGCTGTTCACCTACCACACCACGCCGGTCTCAGGAGCACCGGTCTCTGCTGGCCTGCAGCCTCTGCTGTGAGATGGCTTCGACACAGATTGAGCGAGTTGCAGCAAACTCGAGCAACTTGGGAGACTTGCATGGTAGCCACAGGGGGAGTGATGGAGAGCCAAAACAGTCTCATGTCTCCTTGTAATGTTCGCCCCTCCTTTTTACTCTTCCCCGGAAGAGACTCTCATTTGTCTTCAAAGCTTTTTCTCGCGCTGTTGTGGTTCTTGTGGCCATAAGTGGAATGCATTAGCAACTGCATGAGTACCTGATGACAATAAAATAAAAAAAATACAGTAATTACATGCTGCAAAGTAGAGTGCTTACATGGTGCCTTTGAGCTTTGTCTCACAGACTAAATCTGCAAAGTCATGAAAACACTTAACACACAATAGAGGACAACTGTTATGTGGGAATTGTCCTGTAGCATAAATGGGCCTGAAAGAAGGCTAATAATGTACAGTGCACATCATTTGCTGCTCTCTGTGTAGAGGGGCTGTTTATAAACTGCATTGTAATCATGGTTTTGCTTTTTGTAGACTTTGGATCCCAGGACTGCTATGACATTCCTAGATCATTCCCTTCTGACAAAAGCTGCTCGTTTGACTTCAATGAAAGCTTCAACACCTATTTTGTGAGTATTTCAAGTGTAACTGCTGGATAATCGTTCTGTGGCTTTAGGGAGAAATGTGTATGTTAATCGGTTTTCCCTTGTCACCCTCAGAAAAGCAAAGGAATGATGCCAGTGGGTAGCCATTCTACAGAAGAGGTCGACCAAAACTACGTGCCCATGAGTGCCAACTCACCGTCACATCATCACTCGGGCAGTTTGCCAGAGCCAATGCACGAAACCAACTACGTCCCCATGACCCCAGGTACTATGGAGTTCTCATCCCTGGGAAAACAGGTTCCTCCACCTGCCCACATGGGATTTCGCTCAAGCCCGAAGACCCCTCCCCGCAGGCCGTTGCTTAGTGAGTGCCAGCCCCCACCTGTGGACCGAAATCTCAAACCCGATCGCAAAGGTGAGCGGACAGTAGGTGTGCTTGCATGCATAGCTGTGACTTCATAAGTGATGTGTGTGAGTGTGTGCGTGTGTGTGTGTGGAGTTCTTGCTTCAGGGGTGTGTGTGAGTTTGTTGCTGCTGTGAGCTTAGTTTAGTATGCTCAGCGTTCACTAATGCACCAACTGTACGTGCTTTGTCTCACACTCTGCTGCTATTCCCACAGTGGATGGCTCATGGTCATAAAGCCATCTGTACAAAATTTCATTCTCAGAGCGGTGTCGTTTTTCATCCTGCTTTAGTTGTTGTCATAATTAATGTGGAAAAATGTTTCTCTCATTTTGTCTTCTTTGGTCTGTCTGGTGTATTAAATACCACCGTCTTCCTCTGCGCCCGTCCTTGACCAGCTTATTTCACCTCTTGATGAATTAGTTTATTTCCTTACATTTGATTACATCCAACACAGTTAGTTCCTTGTCAAAACCGCGTTTGCCTCCAGCTCCCGTGAGGCTCTGCTAGCCATTTCGGAGGGGTCTGCTGTCTGTGCCACGGAGTCATTGAGGCCTTAATTGGTCACCTCCATCCTGTTTGTTCCCAGCATCTGAATGGAGCCTTTTGACTGAAAGAGAGTTGAAGAATGATGGGAAATAATCACAGAGGCACACCAAAAGCCGGTACTGTTACTGTCACTGTCGAAAACGGAGCAGTTTTCTGGAGTTTTACATTTCCAGATTGGGAATTCTCCCTTTCACGTGGCCCTTGAGTCAGTCAGCTCCAAGTTTGGCTTTGGTCATTGCTGAACTGCTGTGTCTAAATAAAAAAATCATATCAAGTAGCTGCTTTTCAAGCAACCGCTTTGAAGTGATTATTATTTCTCACACACGCACACACACACAGTCCTAATCCTCACTGCTAATAAAACTTGGTTTTACACTTTTGAATATCTTTGGCAGCAGACGAATAAAAATGCTAATTGTAAATGTTTGTAGTCTAGTTTGAGTTTTGTATTATTGTTTAAGCCCAAATCTTTTTGCTTTTTTTTTTTTAATTTTTTTTTTTTAAGGATTGTTTTATCTCATTCACTTTTTATTTTTTTAGCTAATATTAAAATTCTCATTAAAATATATTTATCCAGTGTTCAATCCCATTGCTCCTGGCATAAATTTACTCTACTTGGATTGCAGGTTTTAGATATTTGGATCTGTGCACAGCTGCTTTTTGTGTTAGAAAATGCCACATAGACATGAATAAGAATATAAACTCGTATTTTTTAACTGATATCCTTAAATGGTATTATATTAATGTTAGTGATGTTGCTTTTTAGGAGCATCATTATGTGCTGATTGTCTTTTGGACCTTAGCTTTTTAAAGTAGAGACCATTGGTGTATTCATTGTTATGCATGGGTAGGATGTCGCATCACTTTTAAACAGCTCTGTGATGTTTTTCATTTCTATATTTAAAATGAGCCATCCACTTCTTCCATTTTCTAGACTAATCTGAATCTCTGCAACCTCTGTTCATCTTCCGTGCACTTTTCTCTCCGCTTTGGATGTCTGAGCCGTATGTTGCAAACACTTTGACTAGTGTATTCAAAGCAAACGGCATCTTATTTCCACTATACGTGGATCCATTAAAATTAATTATCTTTGTCTGCAATCGCAGCGCATTTCTGACACCACTGCAGAAAAATGTTGTGATCAGTGTGCAAAGGAGCAGTGCGTGTCATCCTCAAGTTGCTCTGTTCTGCAGATTGGTCCGAGCTCTCGTCAACATGACATGATTTCTCAGTGTTCTCTCAGCGCTTATACACAGCTCGTCGTGCATGCACAGCTGTGATGTCAGTCTTTGTGTGGGAAGTCGTGGTGCATGGAGTGAGGTGCATGTTGGGCAGTATGGGTCTTCTGTTGTCATGACAATCATCCTCTTGAAGTGTGCTGTGCAAAAAAAAAAAAAAAAGGTAAATTGGTGTACGTGAGGTTGCAGTTTTGCTCTTCTTCATCAAAGTCTCGTCTCTTTCGCTTTGCATGGCAGAGCAGTTGTTACAGTAGGGCTGAACTGTTGTGATCACCAAAAAGATGTTGTAATCAGCAAAGTCTTCTTTCACCAATCAGGTCACAGTCCTAAAATAATAAGAGCGGGTTTAGAGCGAACTGACTCTCAAACCGTAGGTGAATTCCCAAGTCGACGACGCAAGGGTAGGTACACCACACTGAACTGCTGTGCATCTGAATACTTTTCATTCTGTGACCTTTTCACACTCTACTTCATCTTGATTCTCTGCATGCTGTAAGTAAATGTACTGTGGGGATTTTTACAATTTTTGTTCTTCAGGGGTGTGTGTGTGTGTGTGTGTGTGTGTGTGTGTGTGTTTGTGTGTGTGTTCTAAAAATATGAAGTGTCAGAGGTGTTGCATTAATCCAGTCTAATCATTTTAAATCCCAGCAGGGGATGGATGAGTGTGTACCTCACGCATGGTGGATTACACTTGTTACATCTTCGAAGCTCATTAAGAGTCATAACACGCCTTTCAAAATAAACCATTTCTACCATCTTAACCTAAATATTTCCTCACTTTCAATGTGATGTTTTTTTCTTCCGTGGAGCCAAATGACTCACTAACGTTTCTCTGCTCAAACATTTGTGTCTGTGTTTTTGTTTGCAGTTCAACACATTTTACTTTCATAGCACATTGGGATGTAACAGCCAGAACACACTTATTGTCAGAGAAGCATTCACACAGGGCTTTGGAAAAGAGTAGACTTCTCTTCAGGAGGAAATTGAACAACGATATTATCTAATAAAAGCGATATCGCTTGCTTCCGTACATACAGATGATGTTTGGGGAAAATCCCAAAGCTCTTGACCATCTGCAGTGAAGGGATCATGCAACTCTTTTGTACTGTGCAGGGCATTATGCACAGGTTTAGTGCACGTGTAACTTTGACTCTTCTTGCACAGTTTCTGTCCTGAAGTGTTGTCTTATAGGAGGAAAGCATCTTACCCTTAGGGCATGAGGGGACTGATACAATCACCAAGTAATTGAGTCCATTTTAATGTCTATGGGAGGCTCAGGCTGGCTTCAGACAGCACTCCCCGTAAACACCGTCAAGACACCAAATAAGAAAAAAAAAAATGAAGTTCATCTCATCAGAAGACTTCCAGAAACTCTGAGAACCAGTGCTATACTGCAAGGTTGCCCACTACCATAATAAGACACTTTATATAGTTTTTTCCTCACTTTTCTCACCCACTGCCTGCTTAAAGCATTTAGTCCAGTCCCTTTATAAGAAGCTTTGGGAAATCATCCATCCCTGGCTAACATCTAAACAGAGTTGCACATTGGGCACTTATCACAATACAAGCAGCACATGGCTCATCGTTCTCAGGTTTACATCTGAAATATTCCAACACCGTTTCATAAAAGCAAAAAATAAGTTCTGGTTTGGTTAAGGATAGTTTCGAGTGCAATCACATGAAGAAATATGAATGAGATGTTAAATAACACTAACTTATATTTGTGTTATTGAGCATTTTACAATCAAACTTTTAATTTTTAACATTTTTAGTTCTAATGTTGGTTTGATTAGATTTGAATATGGTTTTGTCATTTAAAAGTGCATTTTAATACACACACAGATCTCCAAAATATAAACATTTATGCTGCTCTTGACCTCTGTCAGTCTTTATGTACAGGGTGGGCCATTTATATGGATACACCGTAATAACATGGGAATGGTTGGTGATATTAAAGTCCTGTTTGTGGCACATTAGTATATGTGAGGGGGCAAACTCCTCAAGATGGGTGGTGACCATGGTGGCCATTTAGAAGTCGGCCATCTTGGATACAACTTTTGTTTTTTCAATAGGAAGAGGGCCATGTGACACATCAAACTTATTGGTAATGTCACAAGAAAAACAATGGTGTGCTTGGTTTCAACGTAACTTTATTCTTTCATGAGTTATTTACAAGTTTCTGACCACTTATAAAATGTGTTCAATGTGCTGCCCATTGTGTTGGATTGTCAATGCAACCCTCTTCTCCCACTCTTCACACACTGATAGCAACACCGCAGGAGAAATGCCAGCACAGGCATCCAGTATCCGTAGTTTCAGGTGCTGCACATCTCGTATCTTCACACCATAGACAATTGCCTTCAGATGACCCCAAAGATAAAAGTCTAAGGGGGTCAGATCGGGAGACCTTGGGGGCCATTCAACTGGCCCACGACGACCAATCCACTTTCCAGGAAACTGTTCATCTAGGAATGCTCGGACCTGGCACCCATAATGTGGTGGTGCACCATCTTGCTGGAAAAACTCAGGGAACGTGCCAGCTTCAGTGCATAAAGAGGGAAACACATCATCATGTAGCAATTTCAAATATCCAGTGGCCTTGAGGTTTCCATTGATGAAGAATGGACCCACTATCGTACCACACCAAACCATCACTTTTGTTGTTCCAACAGTCTTGGAGGGATCCATCCAATGTGGGTTAGTGTCAGACCAATAGCGGTGGTTTTGTTTGTTAACTTCACCATTCACATAAAAGTTTGCCTCATCACTGAACAAAATCTTCTGCGTGAACTGAGGGTCCTGTTCCAATTTTTGTTTTGCCCATTCTGCAAATTCTGTGCGCCGATCTGGGTCATCCTCGTTGAGATGCTGCAGTAGCTGGAGTTTGTAAGGGTGCCATTTGTGAGTAGCTAATATCGCCGAAGGGATGTTCGACTAATGCCACTCTCCAGTGACATGCGGCGAGTGCTACGCTGTGGGCTCTTGCTGAATGAAGCTAGGACAGCCACTGATGTTTCTTCATTAGTGACAGTTTTCTTGCGTCCACATTTTGGCAAATCCAACACTGAACCAGTTTCATCGAAACTTAGCAAGCAGTTTGCTAACTGTAGCATGGGAGATGGGTGGTCTCGTAGGGTGTCTTGCATTGAAATCTGCTGCAATGACCCGGTTACTGCGTTCACCAGATATCAACACAATTTCGATCCGCTCCTCACATGTTAACCTCTTCGACATGTCAATGGCTGTGAACAAAGAGAAACTTGTAAATAACTCATGAAAGAATAAAGTTACGTTGAAACCAAGCACACCATTGTTTTTCTTGTGACATTACCAATAAGTTTGATGTGTCACATGGCCGTCTTCCTATTGAAAAAACAAAAAAACACAAAAGTTGTATCCAAGATGGCCGACTTCTAAATGGCCACCATGGTCACCACCCATCTTGAGGAGTTTGCCCCCCTCACATATCACCAACCATTCCCATTTTATTACGGTGTATCCATATAAATGGCCCACCCTGTACAGTTTAAGGATGCTTTTCGAGCAGTGGCTGACTGCTGTGTGTTCCTTCCTGCAGTAAAACCTGCTCCACTAGAGATCAAACCAGTGCCAGAATGGGATGAGCCAAGCACACCTGTCCGCTCACCTGTGACACGGTCGTTCGCTCGAGAGTAAGTACCTAAGACGTTCCTCAGCTTTTCTATAGTTCAGTGTTTGGCTAACAAATAAGGGCATGTTCACACAGCTCTTTGCAGCAAGATCATTGTCCCAGAAGACACACCGTCCCTCGCTCCCTGTTAACCTTAAAGATACTGCATGTGTATAGCAGCTAATGTTAAGTCTGGATTGTCCTGTTTTTTTTTTACTCTCTGCCACAACATGCAGTGAAAGTTTATTTTTCTTTTGGTGTGAACGTGCCCTTTTGTAGTAGATCCAGTTAACTAAAGATGTAGGCACTAATACTTCATGCTTTACTGTAGTCACTCTGTGACCAAAGTAGCACTGCTCATAAAACAGGATTCTGTATTATACTGAAGGAAGTCTGTTGGCTTATCTGAGACGAGGTAATTTGTGTGCTTTCGTGCTGTAGGGACTCTTCTGGCTGCAGTGGGTTTGGGCTGTTATGTCTGTATTATATTTTGTGCTCACCAGAGACTGCAATTTCTGGGAAGTCAGTGTGTAAACATTGTGAATGCTGCTTAGTCCTTCTAGGTTTCCAATGCCAACGAGACCCCCGTCAGTGCATAGCACGGCCTCCAGCACTGACTCCGAGGACTCTACTGAACCGAATTACGTAGCCATGAACCCTAATATGTCCACAGATGAAGCAGTATGTAACACACAACTATACTCTGATACAGAGATTACTTTTCTCCTTTCTTTTTCTATTCACAGATAATCAAAGCTGATAATCTGATAAATGTCTTCTTTTTTTTGTGGTGTCTGCAATCAGTTTCATCTCGTTTAAATTAAATCTGCAAACACACAAATAAACACAGCAGAAGCTTTAGTTTAAGGCAGACAGTTTGGAGGATCATACACCATGCAACTTGCAATTTTGAGCTGTAATTGCTTACTGAAACTATTAAGAAATCCCATTTCCAGTGCTCTTCTCCCTAAGCCACACATTAGTGCGGACAAATTACTGGCTGCTGCAGATGGACTCCTCGCCACTTCAACCCGTTTCTTTGCAGTTCTGCTTTTGCCCTGCTGCTCTGCTTTCTTTATGCTCCTTCTTTCTCTTCATTTACTTTTCAGGTGTTGTCTTAAATCGGAATATTGGCTATTAAGAAATGAAGTTAACGTGTCTCATTTAAAATTGACTGCTCTTTCTGAAGAATGATACTATTATATGAGCTGACTTTTCTACCTACCGGGATACTTTCTCTTACACTTTGGGTAATCGATTCACAGTTTTCCTTTTTTTTCCTTTCTTTTTTTTGCTGTTAATTTTTTTTTTTTACTTTCTTCCAACGTTTGCTTTACTATCGTCTGCTGACCTCCTGAACTTTTATCAGTCTTTTTTAATTTCTTGCTTTCTCCCTAGTTTCTCATTTCTCTACCATCGTCATCCTTATTCCTGCATTTTGTTCTTAACCACCTGCTGTTTTCTCCTCCTTTTTTCTTTCATCCTTTGCAACTTTCTTCTTACTGTGTAGAGAGGAGTCCTTCTACTGCACAGTCCCCATCACCCCTGTAAAGAGGGAGGTGGAGGAACTTGACACCATAGAGGAGGTGAGCAGGGTTGCCAGGTTAGACGTGCATAGCCCGCCCTGTCATTTTTGGGTGCTATTGTGAGATGAGAAAGTACGAAGACTTTGCTGTGCAAAAACCACCTACAAGCTGTGGCTTGAATATAAAGGTTGCAGTGGATTTTCAGACGTTATCTACCATCACTTTCCTTACAGTTAGAATTTCTTAGTTTTGTGTCACCATCCTAATTCGAATTAATCTCTCCATCGTACCTGTATTTCATAATTAACACTAATTACAGGCCCAAGTTGTTGTCACTATGCCTAAAGTAGAAATTTTCTTTGTTTTAAAGGTTTGAAACTATTATTAGTAATGGGACAAATTACGTGAAAAGATGGTCACTGATTGAATATGTTCATTCCTCTACAATTGCAGTCTTTTTTAAAAAATACATATATTTTGGGGGCTTTTTTGCCTCTATTTTGACAGCCTTGCAGGAAAGAGTAAATAGTAAATTGAGGGAGAGTGAGCGGCCGCAAGGCATATGAGCACCTGCTCACCCAGTGGGGTAAACTGGTGCCCAACAGTTGCACTTTTTATGACGAGTTTTTGTAACCCTACGTGCACAAACACCCTCTAAAGATAGATTAGGGCTCTCAGACCTGAACCCATTTGCATGAATATTTTAGACATTGTGACAACACATTGGTGCATTTGCGTATGAGCTGTGTTTCTCTGTGACTCTGCTATCAATTAAAAAATAAAATAAAAATAAATCCCTTTTCTGACTTACGCAGATCACGAAGCTCGCTCCGCCCATGAATGCTGACGGTGGGAGTAGCCCTGTGGTAAAACCAAAGGGAGACAAGCAGGTAGAATACCTGGACTTGGATCTCGATTCCGGCAAGTCTACCCCACCTAGGAAGGTAGGAATTTACCAGCGCCCATACTCCAAACCAAACGTTCTAAATTAGAGGAAATTTATGGCCAAACTTTTAAGACTGACCTCATCTCTCCTCAGATGAAAAGCAACGGAACTGGCATCACAGCATCAGACGAGCGTGTCGACTATGTAGTTGTGGACCAGCAACGAACACAGGCCCTTAAGAGCACCCGGGAGGCCTGGAGCGATGGCCGCCAATTGACAGAGACAGACACCCCTTCCAAAGGACCCAAGTGACCCTGTTGTCCCAACAACACAACCCCACCACCCAACCCACTCTAAACTACCAAAACGCCACAGCTTCCACACTAATGCTGGTTCTGGTTTTCGCTTTGGAACGATCCAGCTGTCTCGTTCCAACCTAACAAGATCCCTAGTGTGTAAGAGCCAGTGGAGCGTCATAGCCACTCAACGTTGTTTAGTTTACACTGCTGTCGGGCTTAAAGGAGCGCTGTGTGTACAGCTGTAGAAAGGGGCGTGGTCCAGGAATAAGCTGTATGCAGTTTAAGAGCATGAGGAAAGACTGGACTTGTTTGCAGGATTTGACCTGAGCAGACTCACCAACTTTGAACATTCACTGCCTTCTTTCTGGATTAGTTATGTCGTCGTTCACCTTTCAGCGGCCTGTGGGCTGATCCAGAGTTAACATTTCCTAAAAATTGTAATGCTGTTTGATGTCGTTTTGAAGTGCAAGTGAGAACACTTTATAACATGATCACAGCTCGGTCAGCGCAACACTAAACGTTAGCATAGCACGTTAACGGTGTTGTGTTTTTGTTTTATGTTTTTGTTTTCCTGCTGTTTGAGCAGGGTGAAGTTACCATGGACACTGTTAGCAGCTCAGGAAACTGACCCCGAACTGTGTCTAAGGCGAACTTCAAACTGGAAAGCCAGTACGACAAAATTTCAGAGAAGCATTACTTTAGATTTTTCTTCCACTTGCGTAGGCACCTGTACTAAAATTCAAGCTTCGGATTCACTTGAGGTTTTTAATCCACTGAACATGATTCGATTTCCATTTATTCAGTAAGTGGAGATGCTTCGATCTGTTGTAATGGAAGTGCAAAGACTGTACAATAGTGTTATGTATATAAACAGGAAAAGTGTCCTTTATTTGTATGGAATATCCAGCATGTTTGACTCTAAGGTATATGGATTCTGCAGGGTAGAATCCCGTACCTGACTCGATGGTATCAGCACTTGTGATAAATGAATGAATTACTGTGAGTTTTTAAAAGAACGTGACAGGTTTTCTCTAAGTTATGCAAAGGTATCAAAGCGAGAGAGAGAGAGAAAGAGAGAGAGAAAAATCAGGTACTCTTTATGAATGCATATTAATGCAACTTTCCATTTCTAATTTATTTCTCGAGTTATTGTATCAGGTGGATGTCTTGTCCATTTTTTCTCCTTTTTTTTTTTTTTAGCTCAGTATTGATTGATATGGAGGAACATTTGCTAAAGTCTGCTAAAATGCTTCGTTTGACAAGCGGTCAATTAGCTTCACAGGTTCATTTCTCCTTTCTCTTCCTCATTTCTCTCTCCACTTAGGTTTAATTTATTTTAAATTGAACTGGCATACAGTTTTGGGAAATTGACTGCCTCGTGCAGTCAACTTGATGCATATTTTAGAGACGGAAAGTCTTTGCCTACATACATCCCTGCTTTACTTGACTTGACTGTCGGCTCTCCCGCAGAAATCCCAAGCATGTGCTACCACGTGATTTAAAAAACAAAAACAAAAAAACAACTCATAGCTGTACATATTTTGCCATCAATTAGATTTAACATGTATCGTTTGAAAGATGTGCCTACTAAGTCATCTTCCTCCTACTTCACTCTTTCCTTTATTGCAGTCTCTTCGTGAAATGGACTGCAAAGCTGATAATGCTTTATCTTTTTTAATGAATCTCAAGAGAAATGTACATTTTAAAAGTGGACTAAATAAAATCCAGCCTCAAACCCATCTACAAGTGACCTGCTTGTTTTCTGGAGTTTCTTTTTATGTTCTTTGCACTTCTTTCTGTAATTTTTCCAGTCGTAGAATAATTAAAGAAATAATTTCTTTTACACTTAACCTGGGACCTACATATATTCTCCAGCTATGCCCTCCAAGTATGTTTAATCATTGGGATTTCTGATAAGGAAATAACACCAAGGCAGTCCTCGGTCATCTGAAACGGACACATCTCAAAACTGTCAAAACATTTTCTATCCAGTTGTGACAGTTGAAGACTTTTGAACTACTTTAAAACATAAGTAAAGCTAATCGTACATGGCAGCTGTAAAACATTTGGACTAATAAAAATTACATTCAAAGCAGAGCACTACAACTTCCTTAATTCTTTGTGGCATAAATCCAACAAAGTGCTAGAATCACTCCTCAGTGATTTTTGTGCCATCATCACACAGTTCCTGCACGTCCATGATGTCAATCTCCCGTTCCACCACGAGGTGCTCTACTGGATTGACATCTGATGACTGTGAAGGCCGTTTGAGTACAGAGAGCTCGCTGTCGTCTTCAAGAACCAGTTGTGACGCTTCTTGTGACCAACAAGGCGTTTCCGAGAACTGCAGCTCACTGGGTATTGTCTCCTTTTCAGACCATTCTCTTTAAACCAAAAACATGGTTGTATGGGGAAAATCTGTCTGACACCAACATCTGTGGCATCCTTAAATGACCTAAACTATATATAGATATAATAATTGTATGACAGAGTCAAGTTTCATATCACTTGTGCATCTTTGATTTGTGGACTGCTAAAACATTTAAACCACAACTGAGAGATTCTGTTTATTCATGGCAAACCTTGGTTTAAAACTCATAAAGATGTTTAACTAAGACAGAGAACCGGCATCCTAATTGTAATCCAGGTTTTATAATCTGCTTTAAAGGATAATTAAGTCCATTTGCACTCTCGTTCTTACTATTCTCACTTTTCACTGCAGTGTTTTTAAACCACAGAGCTTTGACAGTATTATAAGATATAGCCTCAAATCAAGTTCTTACACAAGCTCCTACAAAGGGAGCGGTACGTAATTCTTAGCAAGAGTCACTGCTCAACCAAAATTTAAGGAATACCCCTGTTTTTATTTTATCTGTGCTGACCACTAGATGGAGATGTTGTTTGAAAGACTACATGGCGGCTCTTCTTTGCCTTCATGCTTTCCCTCAGTCCACACCCCTCCAGTGCAGTCTCTTCCCCTGATCTCCTGTTTGAGGCTCTGCAGTGCTGTGGCAGCCAAAATTACATAAACAGCTGCTTCACCGTGAGCTTCACAGGCTGTGCTGCTGCTCCCCTGTGCTCCTACAGAGGCCCCCAACAGACCCCATGTAATAACAATGATCATTTTAAATATACACTACAGTGTATATACAGAGCAAATTCAATGTTGTTTACCCAAAATGTTCTGCCTACTGAGGTGCATCTTTAGCAGGATTTCAAAAACATAAAAATAAACCTTTTACCTTGTCATTTATTGTAGTAACCAAGATTTGAAGCACTACATTTCCACTAAACTGTGTGCAGCAGCTACAATCCTTAAAATGAATAAAAAGAAAGGTGATTAGGCTTTGAAATGTAGGCTCTCATAAAAGGTCCAGAGACAATCACAGATTCCTGTTGATTTCAGGTATTGTTCCCTCCTTTTTCTTTTATTTGTGGAATAAATGTGGGTAGCAACAGCGCCTTGAATTAAGGCAGCTTACTAAATCAACAAGAGCGATGTGATCATAAATTACAAAAAAAAAAAGCAAACAGCTCGTTTGCATCAGAGCAGGTGTGCGTGAGCGTCCATGCATTTGGAGTTTAAAGTGTTATCCGTGCAAGATCAGCCCCATGTTAACTTTGATACTGATGTATGTACCTGTTTTCTCCCTCTACTTAATAAGACATGTACCAGCTCTGACAACTACTTCTGTTGGCTAATTATTTAGATTTATAGATTCAGTGCAGGGCTCCAGTTTATTAAAATCCAGCATATGGGCTGATTGGCATCACGGTCACGCCTAATCCCATAAATCTGTAGTAGACATTGTGAAATAGAATTCATCGTATAGAAATCTGTCCTTCATGATCCATTTTAATCACTGTGCAAATAACCCAATTAAAGCAAATGTCACTGTCACGTTGGCATATATCATAAATGTTTGTAAGACATGCAGCAGATTGTCTAATGTTGCCATCAGGTAGCGTCACACACGGTGGAATTTTTTTCTTCCCATCCTGACTTTCCACGTCACGCTGTCAGATGCGGCTGGTGGGATGACGGGTTAGCGTATAACATTTGACAGGTTTCTGGCTCATTTTCTCTTTAATGATTGCTACTTTTTCAGTGCTCGTGTGAGTGGTTGGCTCGCATGCTTGATGAGTGAGAACTAGATTACCGATAATGTCATCATCTAGGCTCAAGTTTATTTTCACCTTATGCTCGGTCGCAGGGACCTGAGAAAACACCACACCCTCCGAGATTCCCCACAAGCACACAAATTACCTATTTAAAAGCTGTAATTTGTTGCTTTGTCACTTCTTCTCCTTCTGAACCAACCATTGCACACGTGCAGGTAATAAGGCTGCTCTCCCGGTCTGTGGTAATGAATGAAATCCCAGGCAGCAAAGTGGCATGTCTAAACCCAAAAACCATATCAGCATTCCCCTCCCCCCCAAAACAACAACTTAGATCTCGTTAAACAAACACAGGAGTGATTGAATCTGAGAGCGCATCGAGGATTTTTATCCTTTATCCAGCTAAAAGCTTCAAGCTGTTTCTCTGTGAGAAAAGCATCTTAATCACTTTGCGTGGGTGATATTGACGGAATGTTTAACATTAAAATACAACTTGAGCCCGAGCGTTTGTTTGCACGTACACCTCTACCTACCTACACCGCTGTGGCTTTGTGATAGTGCAGCCTGGGGAGCCTCTATGCAGCATCTTTGGCTCTCTGTGTGAGTAATGGGGCAAGGAAAGAGTCTCTGGCTTCTTAACGGGGCCCAAAGAATAATTATGAGGCGAGCTGAGAGGCTGCTCCCAGGCAGCGGGGAGCTCTGTGAGCTTTATTGGGTCGGGCCTGTTGACTTGGACCTCTGCCTGAACTGATGTGAGCAGTCTCTGAGGTGGCCTGAGGTGCCGCCTCGTGGGGCTTGTTACAGAGGTACGCAGGGACAGCTGCGGTGTGTTTTTGGTCTAAACGTGGGTGAGAGCGATGGCAGAGTAACACGATCATTTCCAGACCAATCCGGGGAACTGTGTAGTTGCTTGTGAACATGCCGTAAGGGTGGAGATTTTAATGAGAAAGTGCGGTGATGCTCTTGTCAACAAAAACCAAACAACTCGCGTGGCTAATTAACACCATTAGTATGAGTGAAAAGTCAGCACTCGAGACTTCAGTAGATTATGCAGATGCAGGTCATATTAATGGGGAGCACACTGCAAGCCTTGAAAATAAACATTCCTCTAGAGACATGTTTAACCTAGTAGCTGTTATTGGGCTGCAGTGCAATTAACTGATGGCACAGTGGCAGCTGCACATGTCTTCTGCTGGTTAATCATGGAGCTAGAGAGCAGCCATTACCAGAACTGTGCAAGGAATGCAGGAGAGACACGGATGCTATAGATCACGAGGTATTGTGCAAATGTCTTGAGCCACTATTTATTTCTTTATATGTTGCTTGGAAAATGGGAAATTGGTATGACCAACTTCATTCTTCAACACAGCCTGAACTCTTTTAGGCTTACTTTCTTCTTAATTCTTTAAGTAGTCTTCAGGAATAGTTCTCCAGGCTTCTTGAAGGACATTCAAAGCTCTTCTTTGGATGTTGGCTGTCTTTCGTTCTGTTTTCTCAAGATGATCCCACACCCCTTCCGTTATGTTGAAGTCCCAGCTCTGGGGACACTGATCCATGACTGATGGTGTTCCATTACATGTTTTTCTATCCAGGTATGCTTTTACTGCATTGTCTTGCTGAAAAATGAAGCAACTGCCAATCACATGCTTAGCAGATAGTATGTGATGGTGGATCAAAATCTGTTGGTACTTTTCCGTGTTCATAACTCCATCCTGAAGTTTGGATTAATCACTTTACAAGACCTGCTGCCACTGATTTTCAGTGAGGTTCTTGTTATTTTGGCAAAACTCAGCCTTTTCTCTCTGTTTCCAGTCCTTAAGAGTGGCTTCTTGACAGCCACCCTTCCACTGAGAACATTTCTGATGAGGCTTCAGTGAACAGTAGATCAATTTAAGGGCTATGTCTCAGCTCCTGTGTCAGATCTTTGCTGTTTTTCTATTTCTTAAGATCATGACTTTCAAATACTGTTCATCAGCTGCAGATTTTTAGGCCTGCCACGTTTGTCCTCCACTTGTCCAGTTTCCCACTGCACACTATGCTGACATGTGCCAAGATTTCAGCTAATAGCTCCTTGGGAATCACATTGTTGGTAAAAAAAAAAAAAGAGAGAGAAAGAAAGAAATACAATGCTATGCTTGTCGAACTGTGTTATCTTTAGTATTTTTCATAGACTCAACTAAAGAAATTTGAACACATGATGTGTTTTAGTGAAAGGATGCTAGTAAGAAAGTGCTGGGAGACAATTTAAAATCAGTTCTTTCCTAAGTTGCCTGTTATGCATATACTAGACAGCACAGGTTCACCCCTTGAGTAAGGAGCCTTTTTTATGTTAGAATGATTCAGAAGTCACTCTGAAAATGGTGATGCAGGACATGTGGGTATCAGACACACTGCACCAACTACACATGCATCCTTCTTGCAGACAATAAGTGGAGCTAAAAAAGCAGAATAACGGGGACAACTGCTCATACATGGCATCCACAGCGGTTTCTGCCCACAAGCTGATAAAGTCATGGCCTGCAACTTACAATTACACAAATGTCGTAAGCTATTATACTGCATTAGATTTAACCAGTCTGCAATTTACTAGTCTGTATTCCATGACCAGTAATTGTATTGGCCTTATACTGGCTCACACAGCTGGATCAGGTCTGTGTTACAATGTGTCAATCTTCTCAATTTAATTCCCACATTAAATATGTAACTGAATGGCAGCTGCAATTCAATAAATAAGGCAAATAACATGGTGTTACCCTGACACCCCAGTACAACTTTCATGTTATAGTGAGTGTAGCTTACTTGACTCATCAACAAGATCAATTTACTGAATGGATGAGGCTAAGGAGATTCATCCAGCTGCTAACTGTCTTCTCCCCAAAGCATCCCCTGCTACCTTTTCATAAGCACCCCTGCTGGCCCACCCCAGGAATACCTATGAAAACGCTTTGGTTCACAGCAGCTTCCTTATTATTGTAACA